CGCGCTGCTGCTGGTGGCCGTCGCCGCGCTGCTGGTGGGCGTCACGGGCCACCTGCACCCTGGAGAGGGTGAGTGTGGGGCAGCGGGAGCGGGCGGTGGGCAGGGGACCCGCCACCCCACCCCGGCCAAAATACAGCCCAGAGCCCTCCCCGGGGCCGGGGCCCCGCGGCCGGGCGGGAGGCCGCTGACCTTGGCCTTTGCCCGCCGGGCTCGCGGCTCCGCGCCCCGCGTGCCCGACCCAGGCCGAGGAACTTTGCTCCAATTCGCGCCCCGCCGCCGGCGCCTCTCCCGAGCTCGCCGCCAAGCCCTGCCTGGGCCCCTCGGGGAGCCCAGCCCGCGCGGCAGACGCAGCGACACGCGTCCTCCCTGGGGCGTCCCTGGAAAGTGGGGTCGCTGGGTCGGGACGGCTTCGGACAGCCAGGCGCCTGGGCGTAGGGTTTGGAGCCAAAGCCCAGGTGCTCTGCTCCCAGAGAGAGGCTTCCGCAGGGGACAGGAGTCCCCATCGCCTCCCTTGGAGCTAGACCTGTGTCCCCTCGAGTTCACGCCTCTGTTTCCAGATGGCCGGAGTTTGTTCCGCTTCCAGGTGGCCAGAGGCGGGCTCCTGTAAGCCGGTTGGCAGTGGCAGCGATTGTAGTAGCGGTGCTGCGGTTTTCCAGCGAGATCCTTAGAGTAAGAACCACCAGAGGCAGCTGGACTTGTCGTTGGTCTTCTCCCATCCTCCCTCTGACTGTTGGAGACGCAGCCTTAGTGTACCCCTTTCACAGAGGGGTAGACTGAGGCACGGACAGGACTGTAACGTGCTTGTCCCAGAGGGGGCCGTGAGCCTCTCTGTCTGGTCCAGTCGGAGGCTGGGGACTACTGACCGCCCCTAGCTTCCTCCTTCATGACCGGGTCTTTGACCTTGAGGACGGGCTCCTATGTCCTGACCTCCTGGGTCTTCTTCCTGGGTGTCCCACAGGGGGACAGGCGAACCTTACCTAACCCTCCAGCATCCTCCTCCGGCTTGACAGTCGCCTTTTGGATGGTGGGCCAAAAATTGAAAACTCACGGAAGGGAATGTAGTGTGGGTTTCCCCGTGGTGGGGTCTGAACTGCTGCTTTGAAGGTACCTGTTGAGCCGCTGTTTTAGATTTCTGCGTGAAAGGAAATTGTGACGACGAGGGGACTGCAGAGGAAGGAGTGGAGGCGCCTACATGTGCTGGCCGGGCAGGAGGCTTTGGAGTTCACCCACCAGCTTTGCTGAGCTGGCTCTGCTGCTTGCACAATGGCACCAGGCACCCGGTGGGTGTCTTGTATGTAGTAGGTGCTTGGTTTGGGTTCTTGCTAAGAGAATCCAAGATGCGTCTCTGGACCTGTCCCCGACTCTGTGTTCACGTGTGCGAGTGTGCCGGGCGTGGTGGGGCATGCCTGTCATCGCAGCGCTGGAGAGGCTGAGGCAGGAGGATTGCTGCAAGTTTGGGGCCAAATGGAGTTACCGTTTCTTCACACATTTACAGTTTCTACAAGGGCAGAGGATTCTGTTTGTTCATTGCTCCGGAGTGGTGCCCAGTGCGTAGTAGGTGCTCAGGAAATACCTGCTTCTGAGTGAAGGACAGGTGACAGAGATATCTGGGTGGCTCATTGCAAGCTCCTGATTCTCTGGAACAATCTCCGTGCTTTCATCTGTAATCTCCGTGAGTCCTGGCCACACCCTCTCGAGGTAGGACAACCGTCCCTTTTCGCAGGCGAGGAAATTGGACATCTATGGAGCTAATCGGCCGCGGCCCGCTGGTTTCTTAACACACAGTTTTTGATCAGAGTCCCCCACCTCTGATCTGGGGTAATGGTTAACAAAATCCTATCGAATAATTGAGATGTGATGCCTCCTGGAGGCCCCGAATGGGGCAAGGAACTTTCCAGATCATTAATCTGTAACATCCACCAGTGCAGCACTCTGCCTGGGGCAGAGCGCGGAGGAAGTCAGTTTGGGTTTTAAAGGACCGATGGATTCCTTCTTTCTCGGAGGCTCCGGGCCGTGGTTCACCCTCCCCCTCCCGCTCTCCCGCGGTGTCCCCATGCTGCGCTGAATTGGGCAATGTCGCCCTTCCCCACCTCCCTCTGGATGGTCCGGCTCTGGCCTGGCCTGGCTGGGCCGCCCTGCAGTCCGACAGGGGCCGGCGCAGAGCCCTGGGGACGGGCGTCCACCGAGTTGGCCTCGCATCTCCTGGGTCACCCTAACCGGTGCTTCTCTCCGGAGCCCGGCTCTTACCTTCCTCCTCACTTGTTCAGAGAGATCGTGGGGTGAACCCCTGGGGTCCCTGGCTCACCCCACCCTGTCATTGACTTCCAGTTCTATTTAGTTCTAGCAAGTCCTTGGTGAATTCCAGGGGCTGGCTGATTTTGCCTGTGGGGCGACCTGGGTGCCCTCGCCCTGGTCCCCACAGCTTGAGGCCTGCAGCTCTGTTTTATGGTGACAACGAGCCGTATCTCCAGGCATTGTCGGTGGTTGCGTCTGAGACACTTTCCCGCCAGTCCCTCCCTGGCCCAGTCTCCCTGGGGATCCTCACGCCCCCTTGAGCTCTTCTCTGTGCAAACAAACACCCAAAGCCCCACACCCGGTCAGCCCCCAGCCTTCCCTGGCCTGGCCTCCCCCGCTGGACCTCACATCTCTCGCCTTGTCACCTTCCAGCCACTGGGCCCGGCCCCGCTCCGGTGTGTGTGTCTCTTCCCCTCCACTGGGGTGAGGCCCGCGAAGGTCCCCCTCCCTCCCTGTCTCCTTGCAGCTGTCCGCCCCTCCCCCAGGCTCATCCCCGGCCGCCCCTTCCGTGTTTACTGCACTTTCATCCTATGGCCAGCCTCCCTTGACCTCCCAGCTCCCGGGGTAATTTCTATCTAGTGGGACCAGCTCTGACACAGCAGGGGTCTCAGCAAACTGCAGCCCTCTGGCCAAACCGTGCTGCCTGTTTTGTAAATAAAGTTTTATTGGCCCAGGGCCATACTCTTCTGTTGAAACATGTCTAGGGCTGCTTTTATGCCCTTGTGGCAGTAGTTACAACAAACGCGCAAACAAACATTTATACTTTAAACTGATATGGTGGCTCATGCCTGCAGTCCCAGAACTGTGGGAAGGTGAGGCAGGAGGATTGCAAGTTTGACCTCAATTTGGGCAATTTATCGAGACCCTGTCTCAAAGAAGGGACTGGGACTGTCACTCACTGCAAAGGCCCTGGGTTCAATCCCCAGTACTGCCAAAAAAAAAATACTTTGGCTCTTCCTGGAGAGTTTGCCAACTACCAATCCTTAACTTGGACCAAACTACTACTGCCACCGCTAGTACCACATCTTCTCTCCCTCCTCCTTTCTGTCTTCTCTTTTTTCTTTTTCCCTATTTCCTTCTTTCTCTTTCTCTTCCTTTCCCCTTTTTTTGTCTGCTCTTCTCACTTTATTTGAGACAGACTCTTGCTATGTTCAGGCTGCTCTTGAACTCACTGTGTACCCAGGCTAGCCTCAAACTGTGGTGCTTCTCCTGCCTCAGCCTCCTAGAGTGCTGGGAGGACAGGTGTGCGCCACCACCGCTGTCTGACCCAGACTTCTTGAGCGTTGGTCTGCGGTGGCATGCCTAATAGATTGCGTGGTTCCCGGCCCACCGTGAACGGATTAAGTGAAATGAAATGGGAAGTAGTTATTTTTCTTTGGACCACACAAGCCATGCTAATGTAATTTATAGTATTTGTTGGGTAGAATAAATGGTTCAAAGGGTGAGGAAATAAAAGTGATGCCCCCCGCCCCCGCGGCTGTGTGTGCAATCTTGGGATTTACTGATGTAGACAGCTGTATTGGTATGTTTTTTTTTGTTGTTTGTCTTTTTGAGACAGGGTCTCGCTATGCAGTTCAGGCTGGCCTCGAGCTCACTTTGTAGCCCAGGCTGGTCTCGAATTTGCAACGATCTTCTGGCCTCAGCCTCCCGAGTGCTGGGATTATAGGCGTGTGCCACCACGCCTGGCAGCTGTATTGGTATGGACGGCACTCTGGTATGGAAGGTCATCTGTCCTGTCTTTAGAACCCAAGAGGACAGGGGTGTCATGAGATCCTCTTTTCTTGAGAAACTTTTTTGTTAATTTCTGTTAAGGTTACAAACAGGGGTAACCTTAACAGGGTGGTAGCAACTGGACCAAACCAGATGGATTGTATTTATGGGTTTTTTTTTTTTTTTTTTTTTTTTTTGTTTTTCTCCGGTACCGGGAACCGAACTCACGACCTTGCGCTTGCCAGGCAGGCGCTTTGCCGCTGAGCTAAATCCCCAGCCCCTGTATTTATGGGTTTTTGATAAAAAACAGCAAGATTTGCATTCTCATTGCAAAATACATATATATATACACACACATACAAATATGCAGTAGAACCTTGGTTTTTGAGCTTATTTCATTCCAAGAACGTGCTTGTAATCCAAAGCTCTTCTATGTCAAGGCAAGTTTCCCATAGGAAAAAATGGAAACCCAGTGGGTTGTGGAGTGGAATATTTTGAGTTTCCATTTTTTCTTATGGGGAAATTCGCTTTTTTTTTTTTTTCCTGGTCTTTTTTTGGAGACAGAGTCTCAGTAGGCAGTTCAGGTTGATCTTGAGCATACTTTGTAGCCCAGGCTGGCCTCAAACTCAATGATCCTCCTGCCTCAGCCTCCTGAGTGCTGAGATTACAAGCATGTGCTACCATGCCCGGCTGAAATTCGCTTTGATGTAGCATTCATGTAAAAATGATTACAATGCTATAATAGAATATGACATGATAAAGAAAATACAAAACATAAAGAAAAGTAAAATAACCTGTACTTTTGAAAACCTTCGTGGCTGCTGTGAGGGAGATGTGAGAGGAGGGTTATTGTGTCGGACACTTTCACTGTCGCTAATGGAACCGCTGGTAACAATGGGCTCAATGCAATCTTCTCGCGTACGTTTAACAAGGAACGCATCCACATGACGCTCTTGCCTCCTTTTGAGGATTTCGTGGTAAGACAATATTGCATTGTCATTAAACAGATTCATCGCTGGCGGTACTGCACCTTACTGAGGTTGTGTGGTTTTTTTTGGATACT